AGCACCCAGGAACGCTCCGCGGCCTCTGAGGCCGCAGCGTCAGCTAAATGATTTCCAGCCCTGAGGACGACCTGATGGTCGGACAGTCTTTCAGCCTCGAGGTCAAGGTGACGGGCCGTCCATTCAAGGGTGACCTGTCCCTCTCCACGTGACACAAGCGCAATCTCAATTTGGAGCCACAAATCCCAGTTCCCACCCCCCGCCGCACTGGCCCGACTCCGCTCCCACCCCATAACAAAGGGAATATGGTCCGTACATCATGAACGGGGCCCTTCGTGCCGTCAAGGCACATCGCGAAGGCCAGGAGCTTGGGGCGTGGAACAATTTGAAACTCGCCAATGCGTCCTTGGTCAGGGATCAGCTGAAGATCAGAAGGAGTGAACGAATCCACTCCAGAAGCCTTGGACGGTAGTTTGGCCACCACTCTGTTCAGCGCTGACAGCTCCAGAGGTGGTAGTGGCTCCTGGCGCGAATCGTGATGCAACTGCTGCCACATGTGTGTGATGGCCTCGGCGTCGTCGACTGCATCGGTCCACGATGTTCTCAAATCCTGTCATTTGTCGCTCCTAAAGTCCGCGGAAGCAGTAATGGCCCGTCCTTTGCAGAAGCTCTCGTGAACCACAGGCTTGGGGCCTCGAGCCATCGCGTGCAGTCGACCTGGGTGCTGACGCCACTGTTCCAGCGCCCACTTGGTAAGGAAGAAAAGGCGGCCGTGCCAGGTTTTGGATGGCAAGCATTGCGAAGGGACGGTGCCTAGCCAGGGCCGTCGTAACGGAACCCGTATCTGAAGGTCCGGCTCGCCAGCTTGACTCAGCCGCCCGCGGACTCAAGTCGGCGTTTGGCGCGAGTGCGGAAGGCAAGGGGGAGGTGGGTGGGAGTCCGCCGATCCGGCGTGTGAGCTACAAGGAGCCTCAGCATGAGCTTCAGTTCTGAGCCGAAGCAAGAGCTTCAGCTCTGCTGCTGGGGGCGGGGGGCGTCGCCGGGATTGCTCTGCAGGGGAAGGGGGGGGGGGGGGGGGGCATATCTGGTGTTTTCTCCATGATTTGCGCATCCGACTCCGACCCCCCCCGGGGAGGGGGGGGGTGGGGGGGGGGGGCGGTCCCCCATCTGGAGTTTTCTTAATGGTTTGCGCATCCCCAAAATGTTTCAGTGGGTCCCAGGGACCCCCCTCAGATCTAGCCGCTCCCCGGCCCCCCCCCGGGGCCGCTCCAGGCACCCCCCCAGAGAAGGAAAAAAAACCATAATCATCGAGGAGGGAGGAGGCCACAGAGTCGCGAAGACCAGCGAATCCAGAGCCCCTCGGATCGGCAGCACTGGCCGGCGGCCATTGCAAAAACAGGACGGGGAGGGGCATCGGAGGGGGCTCTCCCCCTCCTTCCTCCCCCCTCTCTTCCTCCCTTTCCATCTGCAGCTCCTCCGCCTCCTCCTCCTCCTTTTCCTCCTCTTCCTCCTCCTCCTCCTCGTCCTCTTATCTCTTCCCCTTTCCTCCTCCTCCTCCTCCTCCTTCTCCTCCTCGTCCTCCTCTTCCTTCTCCTTCTCCTTCTCCTTCTCCTCTTCCTCCTCCTCCTCCCCCTCCTCCTCCTCCTCCTCCTCCTCCTCGTGGAGGGGGGGGGCGGCCAGGGGCAAACGTGGGGGGGCGAAGGGGCGCCGCCCTCGATCGGGCGACGGGGTGGGCACCCCGCGGGGCCGGGGCCGGGGCCGGGGCCGCGCCGGGCTCCCCGCCGCCGCCTCCGCGGCGGGGGCAGAAGTGGCTCTCGGAGGGCGCCTGTGGCAAGAACGGTCAGCATGGAATCGGGGCATCGGACCGAAGCGGGAGGTGCATCGGATCGGGCCGCATCGGCGCGGGGTCGGAATCGGATCGGATCGGCCGCGCCAGGGTGCGCGACGACGCCGCGCGAACATCGTCCCGCATCGGGTCGTTGTGACATTGGGATCGAATCGGATCGACATTGGACCTGGGTTGGGGCAGCCTCTGGCCACCGCTCGTTGCCCCAGAACAAACCAGCTGCCTGGCATCCTTCTGCGCCTGCAATATGACGACCTTCCGTTCCGCTGCACGTTCTTCTTTCTCCCCCCGCCATTCGGCAGCTTTCTTCTGCTCGTTCCGAAAGTGCCTGACCCAATCTCGTCCGTGCAGGGTCGTCACCGCGAGCGTGTGCACCTTGGCCGCCTTCTCCTGGACCTCTGGGCTCCTTTCTACCTCGTGGCAACTTGTCGTCGTCACGTCTCCGCTGCAACGAGCGGTTCCAATCCGCCCTCGCCAGTTCAGGTATGAATCCTTCACAAACCGCTCCGAAGAACGTCAGATCTTCAAATCCATCAATCATCCCTTTCGCATCGTCATCATCGAAAAGCTCGGCTCGACCTTCTGGAGCGCAGGGAGTCGGCTCCACTCTCTTCGCTCCCCTCTCATCCTGAGGCTGTCCTTCAGGTGGGTCCTCCCGTCCGTCGCTCTCCAGCCCACCGGTTTCCAGTGCGTGTCCTGCGTCTTCATGTCCAATGTCATCGCGAGTGGCTGGGTTTGGCTCGCGACCCTCGCCCCTTCGCCCTCCGGCCCTACGCCCCTCTCCTCATCGTCAGTCTTTCCTGCTCCTGCAGATTCTTCGCCATCTGCTCCTCGAGCTGATTCGCACTTCTTGGAAGGGCCCTCCCGACGGGCTGAAGCCTCGTCGTCGTCGGGGAGTTCCGAATCGCAAATCGCTCCCGTGCCTTTCTTTTCCATTGACACTGTTGTCGGGTACCCGTCTTTACTCACTGACGCCGCTGGTCAAAGGCTCGTGGATCACGTGAGTCGTTGAAGATGACGTCAGCCGAACTGGCGATATCTCCTGCAGCAGCCTCCAGCTGAATCGGACTGAATCCAAATCCGAAGTCCTCCGTTCTAAGGCGAGCCTTGGCGGCTTCGCCCGGGTATGGGCTATAGGCTAGATTACCTCAACGCTAACAGTATCAAAGACACTAGTGCCAATGGCAATATGATGTATGAATGTTCTCCTCCAGCGAGCGGGCGCTCGCCGTAATCCAATCAACAGGTCATTCTCCGCTTTCGGATACTTCGCGTCCGTGAGTGAGCCAAAGCCCAGCGGTCGTCGTCAACCTTCGTACGACGACGGCCCCAAAATCATTCCACTTCTTAAGAGGGATGTTGGGGAACGGAGCGGTCAAGTATCGCTCCTGACAGCAGTTTCACTTCGGCCCCTCCCGCCACCGTGCCTGAGTTGTGGGTCGGCTTTATCAGGGATGCTTCTGCAAGTCTCTTCGGAACGCTCTCGGGACACTCTTGGGCCTCTTGGGAGCCTCTTTGGGCCTCCTGGGGGTCCCATCGGGGCCGAGGGCTCGAAATGCCTGTTCGGGTTCCTCATCTGGGCCCCCTCTTGGGGTCCTCCTGGGCCGTCTTGGGCGCCTCTTGGGCCCTCTTGGGCCTTCTTGGGCCGTCTTGTGGCCCTCTTGGGGGCCTCTGGGGCGGACCGTCTTGGGGCTGGCTTGGGCATCTTGGACAGCTCTTCGGCCGCCTCGGAAGCTTCTTGGGCCCTCCTGGGGCCTTTTTAGGGCCCTCTGCGCCTGTTTTGGGGCCCTGTTGGGCGGAATCACCGTCCCAGAAGCCCGCGCAACACACCCCAGTAACGCCCAGGCGGGCCCGGCGGCGCCTGGGAACATGGGGGTCTGGCCCCCTCCAACAAAACTGTTGAACCCTGGAACCTCTCAGGGTTGCAAGAGCCTTGGGGCACTCCACTACGTGCTGAGGTCACGGCCGTACCTTCAGCACGAAACGGTGACCCCGCCCAACAGCGCCCCCAAATAGGCGCAGAGGGCTCCAAAAAGGCCCCAGGAGGGCCCACCTCCCAGACGGCCGAAGAGCTTTCCAAGATGCCCAAAACGATGCCAAGACAGTCCAAGAGGCCTCCCAGACCCCCCCCGAGGGCTCGAAGAGGCCTCCCAAGAGAGCCCCAAGAGACAGAATTCATTGATTTTCGCGTTCGCGCTTTCAATTTCAGCGTTCGCGCCTTCGGTTTCCCGACGCTCCAAGACGGCCCACGAGGCCCCCAAGAAGACGATCCAAGAGTGCCCCAGGATGGCCCAAGAGGCGCCCAAGACAGGCCAGGAAGGCCCCAACAGGGCCCCAAGAGGGGGCCTGCATGAGGAACCCGAGCGGACATTTCGAGCCCTCGGCCCCGAGGACCCCCAGGAGGCCCCAAGAAGCCCCCAAGAGGCCTCCAAGAGGCCTCAAGGGCCCCCCAAAGTCCCAAGAGGCCCCCAAGGGCCCCCGAGAGGCTCCCAAGAGGCCCACGAACTGCTCCCAACAGGCCCACAAGAGCGCTCCGAGGAGACCCGAAGAAACATCCCTGATAACTCTGAGCTACAACCCAGGCGCGGTGGCGGCATGGGCAAACTGTCATTTGATCTCTCTCTCTCTATCTCTTGTTATATATATATGTATGTATGTATGTATGTCTGTATGTATGTGTGTATGTATGTATGTATGTATGTATGTATGTATGTATGTATGTATGTATGTATGTATGTATGTATGTACATATGTGTATGTATGTATGTATGTATGTATGCATGCATGCATGTATGTATGTATGTATGTATGTATGTATGTATGTATGTATGTATGTATGTATGTACATATGTGTATGTATGTATGTATGTATGCATGTATGTATGTATGTATGTATGTATGTATGTATGTATGTATATATATATATATAGGTATAGCATGTATGCAGATTTATGCATGCATGTATGTATATATATACATACATGTGTGTACACACATTCTAATATATACAAGCACAACGTTTGATTATCAAGTGTAGGCGATCGTTTTGAAGGGATGCTGCATGTAGGCCTGCTTTGGGAACTCATCACAAGAATCCCCTACACCACGGTCTTTCGAACTTGCTTCAGCAGCAGTTCTAGACATGCCGGATCTCTGGGCCCATGCGGCCGAGGTGTGAATCCCGGCCCTGCGCGCCGTGCGCGGGCGGGGGGGCCTCGGCCCTGGCACGCCAGCCGGCCCCGGAGCCACGCCCAGGGGCCTGGCGCGCGGGCTCCGCGGCGGAGCAGCGGGGGGCTGGGCGGGGGAGACGCAGCGGAGCAGCAGCGGATGGTGTTCGCGGCAGGGGGCGGCTGGGCCGAAGTTTTCGGGGCGAATGGGAGAGGGCAGCGTCCGCCCACGACCTTGCCAGGAGGGAGGGGGTCCCTGCCCCAGAGTGGCAGCGGAGGCGGAGGAGCGGGGGGGGGGCGGTGGGGAAGGAGAGGGGGAGGAGGGGGGGGAGGAGGGAGGAGAGAGGGGGAGGGAGGGGGCAAGGATAGGGAGGAGGGAGAGGGACGGGAAGGCGGAGTGGAGGAGGGCGGCAGGAAGGAGAGGGGGGGGGGTCGGGAAGCAGCAGAAGAAAACATGCGCTGCGCAAGATTGAGAGCTGCTGGACCTCCTGGCCTCCGCAACTTTTGCGGCGTGCCCAGAGCTCCCCGAAAGGTGTGCAGCGGTAAAGGGTTCAGAGCATGCTCAACTAAGATCCAGCGCCTCCTTTTACTGTATCATCGTGAACGACCTTTACACACGCATATTCTCGCCTCAGGGAGGTTGCACAGGATGAGCGACCGCCATAGCTATCCTGATGCGCAACACGCATTGTGTTTGTCACGGATCTCAGCACGCACATTGAACGCGTAGGTCTGGCCCGAATCGTTCGCCAACGCGTAGGCCTACCACGTGCTGAAATTACCATCTTTTTGGTCTTCAGAGCTTCCAAGACGGCCCAGGGAGCGTCCAAGATCACCAAAAAACGGCCCAAGAGCCTCAAGGAGGGGCCCACCATGCCCCGAAGACAGCCCCAAGAGAGGCCCAAGAGGTGGCCCCTGCCCCAAGATGGCCCCAAGATTCCCCAGGGACCCCTGAGGTGCCACCACGAGGCCCGAGGCCCAAATCAGGCCCCCGGGAAGCCCCTCAAAGGCACCGGAGACGCCCCCAAACATCCCCCAAACCGCCTCAATGAGGTTTGAGAGAGGTCTGTCTCTCAATAGATCCGCACAAACAGTCCAAGGGTCTGACCGACAACCCAGGCACGGTGGTGGGATGGGCCGAAGGCCTCTAGATCCGCCGCCCCCTGGTGATAAGACCGCCACTGGATCACAGGTGTGCAAGGCGTGCCAAACGAGCCAAATTCTGGGAGGCTTTCGTTCTATTCAACAGAGCCCCCAATGGGATCTCGGCCCAACCCGCCGGCCACCCCGACAGAGCGGGAAAATGAGTCTTCATTGGCCTCCAAGAGGGTCCTAAGACGCCTCCGAGACGGCCACGAACGAGACCAAAACGGTTCTAAGATGCCTCCAAGACGGCCGAGATGGCCCCAGAACAGCCCACGATCGCTCCAAGATTGCCTCAATATCGCCCAAGACGGCGCGAGAGGTCTCCAAGACGGCCCAGAAGACCTCCAAGAAAACCTTCAGAAAAGGCCCGAAGAGGCCCAAATCATTGATTATCTTCATGCTTTTTGCCGGATTTTGTCGTCTGTTCCTTTTCGGCTTTCCGACTGCCCAAGACGGCCCCAGAGGACACCAAGATGGCCCCAAGGGCCCCCAAAGCGCCTGCGAGGCCTCCGCGATAGCCCCCTGACGGCCGAAGAGGCTCCCAAAATGGTCCCAAGAGGGCCCCAAGACGGCCCAGGAGACTTCCAAGACGCCCAAGATGGCCTCCAAGACGGTCATGAATCGCTCCCAGAGGGCTCCAAGTAGGCCCGGAGAGGCTCCCAAGATTCCGACGGCGTCAGATGGGCCAGGAACGCCTTCAAACGGCCAGAGAGCCTCCCAAGGAGCCTCTTCCTCCCCTGAGTTTTTCCCGAAGTGTTCCCACAACGGCTGGGGGGACGCACAGTCTGATAGCGTGGCCGAGCTCTGGCCACAACGGTCGGCCGCACAGGCGCTTCCAAAAGGCAGGGGGGCGGCGGTGACTCGCCGCAGGCGTCTTCGATCACATCATTCTCTGTCCGCTGCGCAGGGCTGGGGCGATCGCTCCGGCGCTGCGGCGCCAGAGACGTCAAAGGCAGGCTGCTGATGCAGCGGGTGATTCGAGTGGACGTCAGGACGACGATGAGCTACAGGACGCAGGCTCAAAGACCTGGTTTCGATCGATGGGCCCTGGCCTGGGTGGCACAGCAATGCCACTCCCGCAACCAGGCAGGGCTTGTGGCAAGAGGAGCGGGGGAGCGGAGACGGGGCGGTGCTTGGCAGCGCAGTTGGCGCCGTTGGACCGCCCGAGGCAGAGCACGAGGGCGAGAGCGAGGAGGGCTAGGGCGATTTTTTACGTGACGAAGAGGACCCCCATAGCATCCCGAATGCGTAGTGTACAGTGAAAGCTGGTCTGTCGCAGGCAACTTGTGTCTAGATCCATGTCCGCTGCGCAGGTGATTCGAACGAGGACCAGGACGACGATCAGGACAAGGGCGTGAACGAGCAGGGCGAATCGGGGCAACGGCGAGCAGGACGAACATCGGTCCCCAGCCCCTCCTGGGGCCCAGACGCATCCGTTTCCCGAGCTGCGTCCCGCCGTGGCGACGCAGGGGGGCCGCCCCGAAGGCCATTTGCCGCTGCCTCAGCTCGCCCTCCCCTGGGAGGGCGAGGAGGGCGAGGGCGATGAGGTTAGGTCCGGCCCATCCCCCTACAGGGCGAGTTTGGGCGAACAAAGAATTACTCACTGCGTGGAGCTCCCCATATGTGCATCTCATGTTTTATGTCATGCCATAGTGAGCGTCTGTTCATGAGCGCTTGACTATAATAGCGCGTCCACATGGGCGACAGGGCCGACGAAGACGAGTGAATCCTAATGCGAGTGAATGAATATGAGTCAGATTGAGCTTTGAGTATGATTGAATATGAACCTCCCATTCATTCCCCCACCTCAGCTGCAAGGCCGCGCCCTCCTCAGCCAGTGGTAAGGTGCACCTGTTTGAGGATCGTTGGCAGTGGGATATGCGAAACGAGAGTTTAGCCACACAAGGCCATATGTGCATATCATGTTGTAGGATTGTGCCAGGTCCTCCTATTCCTCCAGTCTCCTCCGTGCGTCCCAGAGGGTACGTGCCGGAGCACGACCCAGGGGGGCAGCGCGCCTCGTCTCCTTCCTCCGTGCGTCCCAGAGGGTACGTGCCGGAGCACGACCCAAGGGAGCAGCGCGCCTCGTCTCCTTCCTCCGTGCGTCCCAGAGTGTACGTGCCGGAGTACGACCCAAGGGACCAGCACGCATCCTCCCTCATCTCCTTTCTCCGTGCGTCCCAGAGTGTACGTGCCGGAGCACGACCCCAAAGGGCCAGCGCGCCTCGACTCCTTCTTCCGTGCGTCCCAGAGGGTACGCGCCGGCGCACGACCCCAAGGGACCAGCACGCCTCGACTCATTCCTCCGTGCGTCCCAGAGGGTACGTGCCGGAGCACGACCCAAGGGACCAGCACGCCTCGACTCCTTCCTCTGTGCGTCCCAGATGGTACGTGCCGGAGCACGGGACCAGCACGCCTCGACTCCTTCCTCCGTGCGTCCCAGGGGGTACGTGCCGGAGCACGACCCAAGGGACCAGCACGCCTCGACTCCTTCCTCCGTGCGTCCCAGAGGGTACGTGCCAGAGCACGACCTAGGGGAGCAGCACGCCTCGACTCCTTCCTCCGTGCGTCCCAGAGGGTACGTGCCGGAGCACGACCCCAAGGGACCAGCACGCCTCGACTCATTCCTCCGTGCGTCCCAGAGGGTACGTGCTGGAGCACGACCCAAGGGACCAGCACGCCTCGACTCCTTCCTCCGTGCGTCCCAAAGGGTACGTGCCGGAGCACGACCCAAGGGACCAGCACGCCTCGACTCCTTCCTCCGTGCGTCCCAGAGTGTACGCGCCGGAACACGACCCAAGGGACCAGCACGCCTCGACTCCTTCCTCCGTGCGTCCCAGAGGGCACGTGCCGGAGCACGACCCCAGGGAGCAGCACGCCTTATCTCCGTCCTCGCAGCATGAAAACGAACAAACCGCCTGAGACATCCCCGCAAAATGGCCGCGAACGGGCCCGTGTCCTGCCCCCTGGCGGCTCCCCTTAGGTATGCTGAAACCAGCGCCCCGCCTGAGGCATCCTCAGAATTTGCTTTGGAAGCCAAGGACGTTGGGCATGAAAACAGGCAAACCGCCTGAGACATCCCCACAAAATGGCCGCGAACGGGCCCGTGTCCTGCCCCCTGGCAGCTCCCCTCAGGCATACTGAAACCAGCGCCCCGCCTGAGATATCCTCAGAATTTGCTTTGGAAGCCAAGGACGTCGGGCATGAAAACAAGCAAACCGCCTGAGACATCCCCGCAAACTGGCCGCGAACGGGCCCGTGTCCTGCCCCCTGGCGGCTCCCCTTACGTGTGCTGAAACCAGCGCCCCGCCTGAGACATCCTCAGAAACTGCTTTGAAAGCAAAGGATGTTGGGCATGAAAACAAGCAAACCGCCTGAGACATCCCCACAAACTGGCCGCGAACAGGCCCGTGAAAACGCCCCTGGCGGCTCCCCTTGCGAGTCTGAGTATGACTAGGTCTGAGTATGAGTAGGTCTCAGTCCGTGCGTTGAGTAATTCAGACATGTGTAGGTCTGAGTATGAGTAAGTCTTTGTATGAGAAGGTCTGGGAACGAGTCTGGGTATGAGTAAGTCTGGGTATGAAGGAGTCCCAGCATAATTAAGTCTGAGTATGAGTAGGCCTGCATGTTGTGTGTTGAGTAAGTCAGACCATGAAAAGGTATGAGTATGAGTAGGTCTGAGTATGAGTAGGTCTGTGTATGAGTAGGTGTGTTCTTTCTGGAGTCGGCGGCGTCCGAGTAATAACAAGAACCCCATATTAGGATATGGGGAACAATACACAAAACTCCCCAAATTCTCAAACATAGTAAAAGAATAGTCCCCAGACTATTTTTTGACAATTTTTGAATACCCCCCTGTGGAGGGACAGGCCCGACTTAACGATGAGGGCGAGGACGCCGAGGCCGAGGAGGAGCGAGGGGCGAGCCACAGGGAAGGCGGCGCCCGGGCGGGCGGGCGGCGGCGAGGGGGCCTCGGCGGGCCGCCGCACGGCCCGCCGCCTGGCGGAGGCGAGTGCGGTCCCCAGGCGCCTCGCCGGAGGCGTCCCGGCCCCGCCGGCGGCGTCGTCGCCGACGTCGTCGAGGTCGTCATCGTGTCAAGGTCACCGAGGCCGTCGTCGTGGCTGTCGTCGTGGCTGTCGTCGTGGCTGTCGTCGTGGCTGTCGTCGTGGCTGTCGTCGTGGGCGTCGTCGCGGTCGTGGTCGCGGTCGTGGTCGTGGTCGTGGTCGCGGTCGTGGTCGTGGTCGTGGTCGTGATCATGGTCGTCGTCGACGTCGTCGTGGTCGTGGTCGTGGTCGTGGCTGTTGTCGTAGCTATCGTTGTGGCTGTCGTTGTGGGCGACGTCGCGGTCGTGGTCACGGTCGTTGTCGTGGTCGTGCTCGTTGTCCTGATTGTGGTCGAGGTCGTGGTCGTGGTCGTGGTCGTGGTCGTCGTGGTCGTCGTGGCTGTCGTCGTGGCTGTCATCGTGGTCGCGGTCGTGGTCGTGGTCGTGGTCGTGGTCGTGGTCGCGGTCGTGGTCGTGGTCGTGGTCGTGGTCGTGGTCGTCGTCGACGTCGTCGTGGTCGTGGTTGTGGTCATCGTCGTTGTCGTCGTGCATGTCGTTGTGGCTGCCGTGTTGGCTGTCGTTCTTGCTGTCGTCGTGGGCGTCGTCGTGGGCGTCGACGCGGTCGTGGTCGTGGTCGTGGTCGTGGACGTGGTCGTGGTCGTGGTCGTGGTCGTGGTCGTCGTCGTCGTCGTCGTCGTCGTCGTCGTCGTCGTCGTGGTCGTGGTCGTTGTGGCTGCCGTCTTGGCTGTGGTCGTGGTCGTGGTCGTCGTCGTGGTCGTGGTCGTGGTCGTGGTAGCCGTCGTGGTCGTTGTGGCTGCCGTCTTGGCTGCCGTCGTTGTCGTTGTCGTGGTCGTGCTCGTGATCGTGGTCGTGGTCGTCGGCGTCAACGCTGTCGTTGTCGTGGTTGTGGTCGTGGCTGTTGTCGTAGCTATGGTTGTGGCTGTCGTCGTGGGCGTCGTCGCGGTCGTGGTCATGGTCGTTGTCGTGGTCGTGCTCGTGGTCGTGGTCGTGATCGTGGTCAAGGTCGTGGTCGTCGTCGACGTCGTCGTGGTCGTCGTCGTTGTCGTGGTCGTGGTCGTCGTGGCTGTCGTCGTGGCTGTCGTCGTGGCTGTCGTCGTGGATGTCGTCGTTGGCGTCGTCGCGGTCGTGGTCGTGGTCGCGGTCGTGGTCGTGGTCGTGATCGTGGATGTCGTTGTGGCCGCCGTCTTGGCTGTCGTCGTGGGCGTCGTCGTGGGCGTCGTCGCGGTCGTGATCGTGGTCGTGGTCGTGGTCGTGGTCGTGGTCGTGGTCGCCGTCGTGGTCGTTGTGGCTGCCGTCTTGGCTGTCGTCGTTGTCGTGGTCGTGGTCGTGGTCGTGGTCGTCGTCGTCGTCGACATCAACGCTGTCGTGGTCGTGGTCGTGGCGGTTGTCGTAGCTATTGTTGTGGCTGTCGTCGTTGGCGTCGTCGCGGTCGTGGTCATGGTCGTTGTCGTGGTCGTGCTCGTGGTCGTTGTCGTGATCGTGGTCGAGGTCGTGGTCGTGGTCGTGGTCGTGGTCGTCGTCGTCGTCGTCGTGGTTGTCGTGGTCGTGGTCGTCGTGGCTGTCGTCGTGGCTGTCGTCGTGGCTGTCGTCGTGGCTGTCGTCGTTGGCGTCGTCGTCGTCGTCGTCGTGGTTGTCGTGGTCGTGGTCGTCGTGGCTGTCGTTGTGGCTGTCGTTGTGGCTGTCGTCGTGGCTGTCGTCGTGGGCGTCGTCGTGGGCGTCGTCGTGGCCGTGGTCGCGGTCATGGTCGTGGTCGTGGTCGCCATCGTGGTCGTCGTCGTGGTCGTTGTGGCTGCCGTCTTGGCTGTCGTCGTCGTCGTCGTGGTCGTGGTCGTCGTCGTCGTCGTCGACGTCGTCGTTGTCGTGGTCGTGGTCGTGGTCGTGGCTGTTGTCGTAGCTATCGTTGTGGCTGTCGTCGTGGGCGTCGTCGCGGTCGTGGTCGTGGTCATGGTCGTTGTCGTGGTCGTGCTCGTGGTCGAGGTCGTGCTCGTGGTCTTCGTTGTCGTCGTGGGCGTCGTCGTCGTCGTTGTCGTGGTCGTCGTGGCTGTCGTCGTGGCTGTCGTCGTGGCTGTCGTCGTGGTCGTGGTCGTGGGCGTCGTCGCGGTCGTGGTCGTGGTCGCTGTCGTGGATGTCGTTGTGGCTGCCGTCTTGGCTGTCGCCGTGGCTGTCGTCGTGGGCGTCGTCCTCGGCGTCGTCGCGGTCGTGATCGTGACCGTGACCGTGGTCGTGGTCGTGGTCGCCGTGGTCGTCTTGGTCGTTGTGGCTGCCGTCTTGGCTGTCGTCGTTGTCGTGGTCGTGGTCGTTGTCGTGGTCGTCGTCGTCGTCGTCGACGTCAACGCTGTCGTGGTCGTCGTCGTGGTCGTGGCTGTTGTCGTAGCTATCGTTGTGGCTGTCGTCGTGGGCGTCGTTGCGGTCGTGGTCATGGTCGTTGTCGTGGTCGTGCTCGTGGTCGTGGTCGTGATCGTGGTCGAGGTCGTGGTCGTCGTCGTCGTCGTCGTCGTCGTCGTCGTCGTCGTCATTGTCGTGGTCGGGATCGTCGTGGCTGTCGTCGTGGCTGCCGTCTTGGCTGCCGTCGTGGTCGCGGTCGTGGTCGTGGTCGTGGTCGTGGTCGACGTCGTCGTTGTCGTGGTCGTGGTCGTGGTCGTGGTTGTCGTCGTGACTGTCGCCGTGGCTATCGTTGTGGCTGTCGTCGTGGGCGTCGTCGTGGTCGTGGTCGCGGTCGCGGTTGTGGTCGCGGTCGCGGTCGCGGTCGTGGTCGTGGTCGTGGCTGTCGCCGGGGCTGTCGTCGTGGCTGTCGTCGTGGCCGTCGTCGTGGGCGTCGACGCGGTCGTGGTCGCGGTCGTGGTCGTGTTCGTGGACGTGGTCGCGGTCGCGGTCGTCGTCATCGTCGCCGTCGTCGACGTTGTCGTGGTCGTTGTGGCTGCCGTCTTGGCTGTCGTCGTGGTCGTGGTCGTGGTCGTGGTCGTGGTTGTCGTCGTCGTCGTCGTCGTCGACGACGTCGTTGTCGCGGTCGTGGTCGCGGTCGTGGTAGTGGTTGTCGTCGTGGCTGTCGTCGTAGCTATCGTTGTGGCTGTCGTCGTGGGCGTCGTCGCGGTCGTGGTCGTGGTCGTGGTCGAGGTCGTCGTCGAGGTCGTCGTCGTCGTCGTCGTCGTCGTTGTCGTTGTCGTTGTGGCTGTCGTCGCGGCTGTCGTCGTGGCTGTCGTCGTGGCTGTCGTCGTGGGCGTCGTCGCGGTCGTGGTCGTGGGCGTCGTCGCGGTCGTGGTCGCGGTCGTGGTCGTGGTCGTGATCGTGTCGTCGTTGGCGTCGGCGTTGTCGTGGTCGTGGTCGTCATCGTCGTCGTGGCTGTCGTCGTGGCTGTCGCTTGGGCTGTCGACGGCGTCGTTGTCGCGGTCGTGGTCGTGGGCGTCGTCGCGGTCGTGGTCAGGGTCGTGGTCGTGGTCGTGGCCGTGGTCGTGGTCGTCGTCGTTGTGGTCGTTGTGGCTGCCGTCTTGGCTGTCGTGTTGGTCGTGGTCGTGGTCGTGGTTGTCGTCGTTGTCGTCGTGGGCGTCGTCGCGGTCGTGGTCGTGGTCGTGGTCGTGGTTTTCGTCGTGGCTGTCGTCGTAGCTATCGTTGTGGCTGTCGTGGTGGGCGTCGTCGCGGTGGTGGTCGTGGTCGTGGTCGTTGTCGTGGTCGTGGTCGTTGGCGTCGTCGTGATCGTGGTCGAGGTCGTCGTCGTCGTCGTCGTCGTGGTCGTCGTGGCTGTCGTCGTGGCTGTCGTCGTGGCTGTCGTCGTGGGCGTCGTCGCGGTCGTGGTCGTGGGCGTCGTCGCGGTCGTGGTCGCGGTCGTTGTCGTGGTCGTGGTCGCGGTCACGGTCGTTGTCGTCGTCGACGCTGTCGTGGTCGTGGTCGTGGTCGTCGTCGTGGCTGTCATCGTGGTTGTCGTCGGGGCTGTCGTCGTGGCTGTCGTCGTGGCTGTCGTCGTGGGCGTCGTCGCGGTCGCGGTCGCGGTCGTGGTCGTGGTCGTGGTCGTTGTCGTGGTCATCTTGGCTGCCGTCTTGGCTGCCGTCATGGTCGTTGTCGTGGTCGTGGCCGTGGTCGTCGTCGTCGTCGTCGTCGACGTCGTCGTGGTCGTCGTCGTCGTGGTCGTCGTTGTCGTCGTCGTGGCTGTCGGCGTGGCTATCGTTGTGGCTGTCGTCGTGGGCGCCATCGCGGTCGTGATCGTGGTCGTGGTCGTGGTCGTGGCCGCCGTCGTGGTCGAGGTCGTCGTCGTCGTCGTCCTCGTCCTCGTCGTCGTCGTCGTCGTCGTAGTCGTCATGTGTTCGTGGTCGTGGTCGTCGTGGATGTCGTCGTGGCTGTCGTCGTGGCTGTCGTCGTGGCTGTCGTCTTGGGCGTCGTCGCGGTCGTGGTCGTGGTCGTGGTCGTGATCGTTGTCGTGGTCGTCCTCGTTGTCGTCGTGGTCGACGTCGTCGTGGCTGTCGTCGTCGTCGCCGTCGTCACGGCTGTCGTCGTGGTCGTCGTCATGGTAGTGGTCGTCGGCGTCGTCGTCGTCGTCGTGGTCGTGGTGGTGGTCGTGGACGTGGTCGTCGTCGCGGTCGTGGTCGATGTCGTCGTCGACGTCAACGCTGTCGTGGTCGTGGCTGTCGTCGTGGCTGTCGTCGTGGTCGTGGTCGTGGTCGCGGTCGTGGGCGTCGTCGCGGTCGTGGTGGTGGTGGTGATGGTCGTTGTCGTGGTCGTGGTTGTCGTCGTCGTCGTCGTCGTGTGCGTCGTCGTCGTTGTAGTGGTCGTGGTCGTCGTGGCTGTCGTCGTGAACGTCGTCGTCGACGTCGTCGTGGGCGTGGTCGTGGTCGTCGTGGCTGTCGTCGAGGCTGTCGTTGTGGCTGTCGTCGTGGGCGATGTCGCGGTCGTGGTCGTGGTCGTAGTCTGGTTCGTGGTCGTCCCTTCTTCCATCTCTCATGACTCCCTGATAAGATAGACCCAGAACCATGGCGCG